GCCCCCCCCCCCCCAGGATACTGACATGCACATATGCACATTTTGTTATGTTAACTTGTGCATATAATTATTAGGAAAAACAACTAGATGAATGATGACTATGTCAGAGTGTTTTCTTTCTGTGAACTTTCTGTATATTTCCCAGATTTTTAGCAATGATTATCTATTTGATTTGATAACAAAAAAAGTAAAAACTAAAACCAAGAAAAACCTACTGGCCTCTTCACAAGTCTCTCCTTGATTTTAAATTGAATTGCTTTCTTTCTCCCACCAGTCTTTCTCCGAGGCATTATCCAAAATGCGGGGCTCTGCCGGGTGAATACAGGACACACACACACACATACACACACACACACACACACACAAAATAACCCCAGGGGGTTATCCAGAAGCCCTGCCAGGCAGTGGGTGCGTACTGGCCAACTTCCTTGTCAAAGGGAAGAGATACAAGACACTCCATTGAAGTGTAATGACCATCCCTGTTATCTTCTGGTTCTTTGATTTGGGGACAAGTCATTTAACTTAACTCTGAGCAGTGGGCCTTCATCTGTCACATTTGGAGCTGGTGATCACTAGTATTTGTAGGGAGTTCACTGTTCATTATGTGGAGGACACTGCTCCAAGCATTTTACATGCATCAGCTTGGTCCCCTCAGTTATGGAGTTACGGTACATCATTACCAGCATTTTACAGATGCAGAAATTGGGACAGAGAAATGTCACAGGTAGTGAGGCCAAGTTCATGCAGTTGAGATTACAGAGTCTGGATTTATACTAAGTAACCTGAATGAGCAGTCCAAGCTCACATTTGTGATGTGAGGAGGACCAAGAGGGCTAATTAATGGCAAAGTGTTCCCTAAACTGTCAGGGCAATAGACGCTGTGGAAATGCAACCTACTTTACTCTTGGAGAGAAGGAAACCCCAGGCAACGGAGTGGTTGGCCACAGCAGTTGACTGGCTAAACCCCTGGGCTAAACCCCTGTGGAGAAGGGGGACTACATATGGAGCACAACCCAGGATGGGCAAATGTGCCACAATTCTACCCACCTTCAACGGGTGACCCTCCTGATTCTGTCAGGAAGCTGTTTCTTCCCACCACCCACACCCCATCCTCCTCCCTAAACGTTATTAATTTGGAACAATCTTCAGAATTTCTGACTCTGAGAAAGATAAGGCCCTCAAATCACAGGGCCTTTGCAAGTCTGAGGTCAGTTTACTAAGGTCACTTACCTTGAAGTAAATGGTGTTAACCAGCACCAGGACAGTGAACTCGTTAATAGCATCCTGGGGAATGACATCAGTGATACGTCCTTCGGTCTTATTGGATATCCACTCGTTGATGGTCACTCTGGATGGCTCTGGATTTTCCTAAGGAGAACAGGAAACAAATCTACCCATCTGTGCTATTCAACCATCTTCTCCATTTCCCCAGGCAGCATTTTATTTTATCCTTCATCCCTCTGTCCTTTCCCAGCATGTGGTTAAGCCATCACTCTAACCCAGATTGGGGAAACCTCACATATCTAGTACGGTGCCATGAACTCTTACAAGAGTCCAGGTTTCCAAAACATGTTCTTTGGGAAGCTAATGAGTGATGAGGGAGTGGGATGGGGCAGGAGGGATATTCATATGGTCAAAAATGCCTAAGAAATGTTGTTTGAATTAAAGTCGATAGACTTTTTGACCGTAGGACTTCTCAGACACTTAATACCTCTGGTGCTTCATGAACCTCCAAGAGGAGAACATAACATGCACCACATGCCAATTTTGACCATGGTAACTTTAAAACATTGAATTAAATAAGGTCTCTAGTAGGACTGGCATCTCCAGGATAGCTTTGGGTATATATGTGAACTTGGTAGAGGAAATGAAGAATTTATTGCTTGTACTACTTTTTTAGAGCTTCCACTACAATCCATAGATGCCACTGACTTCTCAGGTTTCAAGCAAGAGTAAGTGTTCCAGGGACTGTGACTTACAGTGTCCCTCCACTTGCCCCTAACTAGCATAGCAGTGTTAACTTGGATCCTGCTGCTCTATCTCAATCCCTTAGTGGAGAGGAAGAACTCTGAGGCCAGGCATACCATGTGTAACTCACCTTGAAGTCCAGGGGCTGGAGCTTGGCTCCATATACCACCTCACTGATGTCCTGGTAGGTTTCATTGAAAGTAAGAGATTTGTCTCCAAAGAGGCGATTGGCTGATACCAACTCAGAGGATTTGTTGGCTTTCCGATAGAGGCGGCAGTTCAGTTTGGCAAAGAAGAAGTGGATCTGGTCCGATGTTTTCTCGGAGATAGTATCAAACTTAAAAACCTGTAGAAGCCAAAAGAAAATGGTGGTGGGTTGGGTAGTGAGCATGGTGCTGTCGGTCCCTGGCCAAGAGCCACCTCAGTTATGAGCTCCTTCAGGTACAGTGCCTGGCAGCGTAAATGCTCAGCTCCTGTTTTCTAAACGAACACATGGATGAAAGAAGAATAAAGGTAGGAAGGATAAAAGGGAGAAGAAACACAGAAAGACTGGGATACCACCTAAATCCTCCAAAGGGCTCTAGACCAAGACAGTAGCAGCTGGGCAGAAGGGCCCTGGATTGTACCTCCATCAGCTCCTTGAGGGTGTTGTCACAGGCTCCCAGCTTGGTCATAGCAAAAGCTGTGGAGATACTCAGGGGCGACAGGAAAATGTTGTCATTTGCATTCTTGGAGTCCGCCAGATGCTGATAGAAGGCAGTGGCAAAGCGGGAATTGGCCTTGGACAGTTCCCAGACCCGCCGGTTGGTGGCCTCGGGGATCTTCTGGTCTGAGCCCTCCTCCTCAGGGGCCTTCTTCTCTGGGGTTCGGTAAATGCACATGGGATTCACAGGGATGTCCCGCGGCTTAGCTGTGCAGATGTCCTCCACAGGGCTCCAGTGACAGGTCACACAGCCCCAGAGGCCAAGGAGCAGCAAGGAGAGAAGACACACATTCCTACAGGCGGACAGAAAGCTGAGTTAAGCTAGGCTGGATGACCCCTGTCCACTGCCCATCACAGACGTGCCCCAGTAAAGCATAGGATGCCAAACCACCCGTTGGACCTTGGACTTTGTAAAATACAAGGGCCCAGGACAAGTCCAGTCCTGGATTCCCTACAAGTGGATAGTTCATGTTGAAATTGGAATCAACTACTGAAGCAACTGATGGTTATTAAAAATAAAGAATGCTGAGCTTCCAGTGGTGAGATGGGATGTGCGTGCATGAAAAATAGGCAGTCCCTAGCCGGCTTGGCTCAGTGGGTAGAGCATCAGCCTGTGGACTTAAGGGTCCCAGGTTCGATTCCGGCCAAGGGCACATGCCTGGGTTGCGGGCTCAATCCCCAGTGCGGGGCATGCAGGAGGCAGCCAATCAATGATTCTCTCTCATCATTGATGCTTCTATCTTTCCTTCTCCCTTCCTCTCTGAAATCAATAAATATATTTTTTTTAAAAAGAAAAATAGGCAGGAAACGATGGTGCCCAAGGAAGAGGGAGGGTAGCAGTGGGAGCCACTTACAGAGCTGTGTTGGGAATTTAACCTGGATGGAAAAGGAGTGGAAGGATTTTCGCTGATACAGCAGAGTGGCTTTACTAACACATGAGGGATAAGAAGAAATGAGTGGGCAAGGGCACTCTACGTGCTAAAGACTCCCATATCTGTATCTCCAGCCCCAGTGTGTGCTGGATAACCCCACTTGGATGCCCTACACATTCCTTAATGAAATGCGACCACACTCTTGCTTCTTCTTCTGTGTCCTCCAACTCAGTAGATGGGACCCTCACACACCCTGTGATCCAATCCCAAAACCTGGGGGTCACCCTGATTGCTCCCTCCCACCCTCCTCTTTAGTCAGACCTAGATTTGATTAATACTTCGCCTTGCTCTCTCATTACCTTAGTTCAGGCCTCATAATTGTCTGTTGCCTGGGATTCTTAATAGCTTCCAACATGGGTTCACTAAAGGTAAATGAGACTAATTTTTTTAAAAAACGAGATCACAAAATTGGCAGATTAGAATTGGGACATCCAAGTAAGTAAACCCAGAGATGAACTCTCTTGTGTTTTATCGATAAGACTGGCTGGGCCAGGGCTTCCTCTGGCAGGCTTGGGCCCCTGGGTCTGGAAAAGGGAGTCTCTATGTGGTACCAGGTCTTCTCAGAAAAGACAGCTGGCAAGGCAGGAAAGATGTGTTAGGGAGGTCTACTGGGCAAGTGGGGGCTGGCGGGAAGCTGGGGGCCACTGAGGGGTGCATGCTTGTGTGTGATCTGAGGCCAACTCTGTAGCTGTTTGCAGAACAGAGGCCCAGAATGGGAGAGGAGTGGAGGCACTCAGGGAGGGAAAGGAGGTGAGGGGAGAGCAGAAAGAGAACCTTGCCATTCGTCTTCCCTCTTGTTGCTTCTGTTCCCCATTTTGCCCCTCCACCACATTTGCAAACCCAAGTGGAGGCCGAGGAGGCCCTGGGAGTTCTGTTAAACACAAGGGAAAACCCAGATGGTTGAGCCACAGCCTCATGTCTGGCTTCCTCCAGCAACCAGATCAGGGAGGGAATGTGTGTGGTGTGGAGGGAGGAGAGAACAGGGCTGCGGCCCTTTCTTCAACGGTCACCGAAATCTCAGAGAGGGGCATCCAAGCAGAAGGAAGAACCAAAAGGGAGTTAGGAGATCCTCACAGATTAAACTCAGAGGATTGTAGAGGCACGGTGGGCCCGGAGTTCCCCTCGGAGGGTCTCGGGACTGCTGTGAGGGCTGGGACTGGCGCAGCGCCTTCAAGGGAAGGAAAAGGCCCCTTGGCTTCTTGGGCTAAGAACCCAAGGTGTGGCTTAGGGAAATGCCTTACCCCAAGAAGGGGCGGAGGGAGGGCGCTTGGAGTGACGTCCTGCAAACAAGCCATCTTTGATTGGAACCACCTGGGAGAGGGCCTGGTCTTCTCCAAGGTGTGGAGACCATCCTGGTGGGTCCTTCAGAGGTCAGGAAACCCTCGAGAGCCTGCAAAGGCCAAGGTTGCCCCTCTTACCTTCTTCCAGCGGCCGCAGTTCCTATCCCACTGGAAAACATGGTCGCTAATCTTCCACAGGCTGGGCAGGTGGAGGTAGTGTGGCCGAGGTGATCCCTCTGAAAACTGGCTCTTTCCTCTAAAGCTGAGGTTCCAGAGGCCAGGGTGGGGGAGGGGCTGGTGAGGAGAGGAGGACTGAGGTCAGAGGCTGATGACCAGCTTCCAGGGTTAAGCAAAGTGTGGGGCCCATTGTTGTTTACTTACTAGAGAAGTTTTAAAGTTCAGTCTGGTGCAGGGAAAGCAAGGCCTACCTCTCTCATCCATACGTTCTCACTCTCTTCTTCATCTTTACAGAACAGAAAAAGAAGGTTCACAAGTTCAAACTTGGTCCGAAAATGCCTGGCTGGGGACAACTTTGCAGGATTTTTTTCCCCAGGGAACCGAACCGAGAGTAGAAAATAGCTGACTAGATGTAGTCAAGTTGAATGTCTAGAAACTTCTAGACTTCTACCTGCTCAGTGTGATACCTTCTCTTTCTAGGTTTCTTTAGGGAGAGAGAGAAAGGGAGAGTCCATAGTGTGTCATTAGGGCAGAGAGAGGAGGAATATTCTGGAACAAGGTGCTACCTTCCGGCTTCTAAACCAACACACCCGTGACCCAGACCAGGACACACGTGGTTACACCTGTGGCCCACAGATGGAACCTTCCCCTTAGCCCTGAAGTGGCGGGAGGGGGACCAGCGCAGGGGCCTTGGGGTGCACACCAGGACGTGCTTAAGGTAGCTGAGCTGGTTGGGAGACAGAACACAATCCTACGGGGACTCAGGAGACAGAGTGTGGGGCAGATACAAACACACACAAGGGCTGAAACACTCTAAAAGCAAACAAACCACATTACAGTTGGTGCGAATGGTCATTTTTACTTAGTTTAGTTATTGGGGAAACTAAATAAATTCAAACCAGTGGAGATGAGGGGCCTGTTTATATTTTTCTCTTCCTCCTAGTAAACAGCCCGAAACAGTCTCCCTAGGATTGCTGCAGCAGAGTTCACGAGACACGCCGTCTGTGACTGAGGACTCGTGGACGCTGGGACAGTCAGAGTAACTCTAGTGTCTTCTCCTCAATAGACAGAAATCTCTGTCTGGACTGAAGCCGTATCTAATTCTTGGTTGATATAGACCCTGGACACCTTGAGGACTCCCATGGAGTGTGGGCAGTTACTAGGAACTGTCCTAACCCCCTCATGCTTAGGGGCTCCTTGTCACTCAGGTGAAAGACAATTGAAAAGCTTCGTGTCTTAGGTCCTATGAACACAAGAGTGCTACCTGTGCCAGTGGGCTCTGTCCTCGGGCCGGGGACTCCAACTGGGGAAGACAAACAGCAATAACATAAAGAATCAGTATGTACTTCTCATTAATTAATAAAGGCTTACTGTAGAAAATGTAAAAAAAAAAAAAGAAAAAGAAAAAAAAGAATCAGTATATATGCCTTGGCCAGTTTGGCTTAGTGGATAGAGCATTGGCCTGCGGACCAAAGGGTCCTGGGTTCGATTCCAGTCCAGGGCACGTACCTCGGTTGCAGGCTCCTCCGTGGCCTGGGCCCTGGTCAGGGCGTGTGCAGGAGGCAACCAATCGATGTATTTCTTCACATCGATATTTCTGTCTTTCCCTCTCTCTGAAAATCAATGGAAAAAATCCTTGGGTGAGAATTAAAAAAAAAAAATCAGTATGTACTAAATAAATACATACCATATCAGTCAGGTATTATTGATAAAGGCCATGGAGAAAAATACAACAGAGCCAGGGGTCAGACAGTGATGGGGGCCAGTGGGAGGTTACCTTTTATAAAGGGTGGTAGCAAAGGGCTCCCTGGTGGGAGTACCGAGTGCCATGTAACCCTTTGAAGGGAAATTTAGCAATACCAACATTACAAATGAATTTACCCTTTGAGCGGGGAAATCCCACCTCAGGAAGTGTCTCCTACAGAGCTATCTGTGTGGGTATGAATGAGATTACCAATTGTAACAGCGACTGGGATAAACCAAGGTTCATCGCACACTGGAAAACTATGCGGCTGTCACAAGGGTGAGGGTCCTCAGTGTACTGACATGAAATGTCTCCGGGATAATCGAGTGGTGCTGTGTTACCTTTTATACAGCAAAGTGGGGAACAGTAGGGTGAGGGGTGGACAGACAGACGGGGTGGGAGTAAGAAGTCGCTGTGAACCTTCCTTTCCTGTTTTTGAACATGACGAAGTTCAAAAGGTCTTGACTTTGTGAGCAAGAAGGATGTCATGTTGTATCCTACAGAGGGTTGGGGGTAGGGGAGTTCCGGGGCGGCACCAAAGAGGAAGTCGAAGCATCTTAACTGACGTGTAATCACTAGCTGTCTGATCTTGGAAACAGGAGAAAAGGAGACTGAGAAGCCCACGTCAGTGTCTGCAGGTGGAATGCAGGTGTTCAGGTGTGCCTGGGCTGGAAAAAACGTTTAGTAGTGTAGGATATTCCATCTTTACATTAGCTTAGGTCAAGTTCTTTAAATCTTTGAGTATGATAATAATAGGCACCACTTTCAACACCTACTGTACATATATATGTTTATATAGGAAAGAACCTAGTTACCCCCTGGCCGGGTGGCTCAGTTGGTTAGAGCATCAGTCCCCTACACCAAAAGGTTGCGGGTTTGACCCCAGGTCAGGGCGCATAGGGGAGGCAATCGATCAATGTTTCTCTCTCACGTTGATGTATCTCTCTGTCTCTCAAAAATAAATTTAAAAAATCCAGTTATCACAGAATGCTATAAAATAATATATACAAAATTTTGTTGTATTACCTTTATTATTGAACAAAGTACTTTTCAATAACAAAAATAATATAACAAGACTCCTTCTTATTTAATTCTGGTAAGATCAGCCCTGACCAGTTTGGGTCAGTGGCTAGAGCGTCGGCCTGTGGACTGAAGAGTCCCAGGTTCGATTCCGGTCAAGGGCATGTACCTTGGTTACAGGCACATCCCCAGTAATGGGTGTGCAGGAGGCAGCTGATCGATGTTTCTCATCGATGTTTCTAACTCTCTATCCCTCTCCCTTCCTCTCTGTGAAAAATCAATGAAATATATATAAAAAAATAATAAATTCTGGTAAGATCAAAGAAGACAGTTGGAGTGAATAGGACTGAATTCTGAAGAATAACCACAGTATGTTAATAAATGTATCAAAAATATTCAAGACCAAGGCCTGTACTGATGTGCTAAGCCCAGATAAAATCACGAGCAAGTCAGCCTCACGGAAATGACTGGTACTGTCTGGAATTTCTAATGCCCCAGGTGACGGGAAAATCCCAGGACGCCTGAGCGAAGCCCTGGCCTTGCCATGTAATCACTAGCTGTCTGATCTCTCCACCTCTCAGAGGGTCAGAGATTTTAAGTTTCTCTATGAGGACAGAGTAACCACCTCTCAGGGATTTTGAAGGATTACAGATCATCCAATGGTCTATTGTTACCAAGTTAATACAGTTACACTTCCTCCAGGGAACACAGCTAAATTCTATTTCCAGCCTCCCTTACAGTTCAGTGGGGCCACAGAATTAAGTTCTGGGAGGTGGGATGTTGCTGCAAATGTGCTAAAATGTCCCCACAGCCCTCCAAGCTCTGCCTCCCACGTTCAGGCTAGATGCCCTCAGGACTTTGAAGTATTTATTCATCATCAAGCTCAGCTGCTAAATTGCTGTCCTCCTAGAAGACCCTCATTAGAGGATGAAGTGCACAGGAATTTGACCATGGCTGTGGTCGTGCAGAAGTCAGCTGACACTGTCAAATACTACAGAAATGCGGTTGTGTGGTTTTCCTTTACCATCATTAATGACTTGCTTCCGAGTGGAACACAATGTTAACGGGGAACCCACCAACTGATAACTCAAGTGCCATTTGATCTGATTTGATTCATTAAGGTAACATTTAAGGGACACCTTTGTGTCAAGGACTGTTCTAGACACCAGGAATAGAATGGTACATTCAACACAGTCGCTGCCCTCATGTAGCAAATGTTCTAGTGAGTGAAACAGATAATAAGCAAACCAATTCACACACACACTTTTTTAAAAATCCCACTTACCATATATCAGGATCCTTGCTAAGTGTTTTACAGGCATTTGCTTGATCATCCTCTTGTCAGGAAGACACTACTATGCCCAGCTGACAGACGAGAAAACCGCTGTTCACCAGGCTTAAGAGCCAGCCCCCAACCTATGCAGCTGAGATTCAAACCCTGTCTGCCCGTCTCACAGGCCTCATGCTCCCACGGGACAGCCGAGGAGAAACGGTCCAGGTGAAACCTCAGTCCCCTTGTTCTCCTGGGGCCAGGTCACAGCACGTCACCACCTGGTTCTCCTCTGGCAAGTCTCTACCAAGTCTGCCCACGTTTCCCTCCAAACCCAGGGCCCAGAAATGAACGCAGGCACTACCACCTGTTCCTTTGGTTACCCACATTTTGTTAGAAAACATTTGTCTTGATTGGTGAGCACACAGTGCGATATACAAAACCTGTAGCACAGAAATCCATACCTGAAACCTATATGATCCTATCAACCAATGCCACCTCAATAAACATAAGGAAATGTCTCCAGTGCCCTTTCCAAATGAGGTTTTCACACCAGCCTTCTCATTGCACACAGTGTCCTTGCCTCTATCTAGATTTTGATGACCCAAACCCTTCCTCTTGGTTCATCCTAGGCTGGTTTGATGAGGAAAGGAAAAAATAAAAAGCTCGTATGCAGGGCAGGCTAACCTGGGTCTGCCTGCCTGTCTCCCCGTCTCCACACACACAGTGTCATCAGTATTCTGTGAAGTGTTGTAATAACTGTGCATATTTAAATCAAATTCTTCATGGGCTCTTATAGCTATTTCTGGAAGTGGAGGCAGCCTTAAGGACTTTTCTCAGGTAAATACTAGTTTTGGAAGAGGATGCCTCACTTCTGTGTGGCCCAGTTTGTCTCTATTCTGAGTGGAAACAAGATCGGAAGCAGCACATAGGAACCCCCTCTGCGTTGCTGTGTTCAGGGTCTGAGGAACCAGGGAGAATAATGTAGCATTCAGTCACCCCCTTTTTTTTAGGGTAGCAATAAAGTAAAAAATATCCGTCTTCCCCTTGCCCTGCCTCCAGTCTCAGCGGTAAGTCCTGTGAGCAGGTAATTGAGTGGGTCCTGGCCATTGCCTCACA